AGAGGAAATAATGAAACCAGCAAGATGTTCATGTTAAAATAGCACTGCCTGCTAGAGAGAAAAGCACTCTAGCTTTTCTAGGTGAGGGAGTCTTACTGGAATGCCTTCAATGGCAACACGCCATTTCTGTTCAAAGCCACAAACTGCATCCTGCACTCCGTCCTCAGCAAAACGCCCAGGAAGCCCACTGAGGCCAACAGGCGCTTGGGCTGAGGACATAGCCTGTTCATAGGGAGAGAAAGCCCCCTGACTGGACCTGAGTGGGCTCAGGCCTTGTGTGATTAGCAACACCACCTCGGAAGGTCAACCAGGAGGCACCAGAAAAATAAAAAAAGCACCGTGACAACCCCCCCCCCAGTCCCAGTGCGGGCCTTGGGGAGGCTACCGAATCATGGAGCATGAACTCTTACACCTGCTTGCCAACAACTTGGCTGATTCACTTTGAATACTTCAAAAAATACAATCTTCTCCAACAGAAATATATACAGAGCGAACTGAAGAACAGAACCAGTTAGGAGATGCAAGCAGCACTCTTGCAACAGCTGTTTCTAACATGCCTAGATGGTTACCACAGACAGTCCTCCACACTCACATTAGCCAGAGCATTGTAAAGCCAGCATTGCTTTTGGAACAGAGACAGTTAAATGGTGCATGTGTCAGATCTGAATATTCAAGCACATTGTATAGGAGCTGGAATTAACAAAAAGCAATGATATTCTGTGTGTGTTTGTGAAAAAAGTAGTTTCTTCTTTTAAAAAAGGAAGCACAGAGGCCAATCATCTAGGGTAAAATCACAGCTCTGGCATACCCTTCCCAATCGGTGACTCTTCTTGCATTCAAAATAAATGTTACATAATAAGCATATGTCATCTTGCAGCAACATTTTAAACAATTTCTCTAACACATCTTGCCATGTTGTATTCTTTTGATGCCAATCACACTCTTCACTTGGCTTCAGTAAAGCTTAAGCAAGCAAACAGAAGGCTAGGAGTTGAGAGTGAGTCCAGGGGGACAGTAGGCACAGTTAGGATCTGTAGTCCTTTTTGCTGTATGGTTTATTGCCCAAAATACTATCAATCTCGTGTATAATGGAAGAGGACAATTTTGGAAGAACCTGTACACAACAAACATACAAACAAAATCAGCATGTAAGTCAACGAGGAAGTTGTTTCAAGGTACCTAACAACCTGCAAGATTTGAGCTGTCAACATACCCCAAAGCCAGCAGAGGAAAGTGATCACTGGCGGAGTTTAAGCAGGTATTAATGACAGCACATATTATCAAGATGCACAAGATGCTCATTAATAAACTGTATTGACCAGCAGGCAACACTAAAACCACCTATACCCTCACTTGTCACAGGGACCAGCAGGGGCTGATTGATGTAGTGATGGTCATGAGCTTCCCTGCAATCACAAATTATAACATGGAAAAAGAAAAAATACTGTAACAGGCGTGACCGCTTTGGAAAACAAATGTAAACAGGAAAGCAAATCAGCCAAAACACATGATTAAAGAAATAAAACACGTGTGAATTCAAGGCGTTACTGGTTCCTTTGGTATCAGGTACCATTTGCTAGCTAGAAGGGTTGATGGGTTGAACAAGTTTTCAGAATAACTTTGGTTCGCTGAAAGAACCTGTTACGGGAAAACACGTGATTTGTTAAGGGCCCGATCCAAAGCTCAGCTGACGGATCAGCTTTCATGAGAGCTAAGACTCTAAGCCTTCGACTTGGTGTCACGGCTCATAAGCCCCCTCTTACTAAATTAGCCCAGTGGAGTAGCCCTTGTTAATATCTGCAACACCAGTGCAGCTGCAAGACACACCCTACCTTGCACTGCTCGATGACAACAGTTGCAATCTGGTGAATTTCTTTTTAACGCTATAAACGCTATAAGGAGTTAGTTACTCTCAAACTCTGAGCAAGCCAAAGATCGTGCCTTCATTTGCCTGGCTGTAGGTGGGAACTGACCTGTATTGCTCCGATATTCTCCATTAACTGCTCTGCATTGGAAGCGCCTAGCAAAACGGAGCTGACTCCTTCGTTCCTCAGGCACCAGGCTGGAGTGACAGAAAGCGTTAGGGGAGCTACGTTCAGGGGGTTCACTGCGGAGCGCACACGTCATTCTTTACATTCATAAACAATGCAGTGCAGAGCTGCAGAAGCAGCTCTTCATTCTCTGGCCACAAGTGGCCGAAGCGTCCAGAGAATGGAAGCGCTCGCTGCAAGGCGCTGTGTGCGTATACCCCGCAGCATGTTTATACGGTCAGGAGAGGCGGGCTGGGTGGGGGAGATGTGCCCGGGCAGGGAAGGCACTGCGGTTAGGCTTTCTCTGGCCAGGCAGGCTGGTCTTTCCCTGCTCTGAAGCGACTGAGCCAGACTCCACCTGCCTCAGGCAATGACTGTCTCAGGGCGATGGTGGGTATTGAAGAGAGGAAGCGAAATTCCTGTCTCCTCAGAGCAGCTTTTCATTCGAGCAGGCACAAGAGAGGCAAGGAGCTGGGTCGGACGGTCTGGAATTCGGTATCAATGCCAGGGAATGATGCTATTCTTATCCAGTGCCCCGCTGCTGCATTCTAGCGACAAAGGACAGGGGGACGCTCTCTCTCGCTCTGTGTGTCTCGCAGTCCGCTTACCGATGGCGAGCTGTGGCAGGGTGCATCCCAGGCGCTCGGCAATGGCTTGCAGCTCCTTCAGCTTTGCTTGCTGTCTCCTTCCCTCTTCGCTCAGGATCTTGTCTTTTAGCCACTGGTATCCCTTTGAAAAGAGGCACATTGATGGAGAGGGGAAAGAGTCCTTAGCATCTGCCTCCTCCCCAGCCTGCTTCTAGAGAGGGTGCATCACTGGCTGGGGACGCAGACTGACGCCGGCACTCGCTTGGGACCCAGGCCAGCTCCCACTGAAAGCAATGGAAAGGTGCTTCTGGGAGTCAAGGGAGTTGGCCCAGAGGCCAGCGTGGGGGGTTCTGCCACTTGAACTTAGTGTCACAGACACGTTTGGAGTTGGCGACACGGAGGGAACAATCCAAATGGAAATGGGGTTTATTCTGTGTGTGTTCTATCGCTCCGGCATACGGTCAAAGGACTTCCCATAAATCTTTGGGGCTATAATACAAAGATATCAAGGATTCTGAACAGCCCCCCAAACCCGTGGCTTATGCACAAGGAACATGAAGTGAAGCAGAGCTCTAGCACAGAGATCTCGGTAACGGGGTGACCCTCACACAGGAATGCTTAGCACAAGAACCAGAATGTGTGAGGTCTCCCAGTTGTGACACGGCAGCAAAATTAAACACACCCTTGCAGCAGGCGGCTAATTAAAGGTAGATCCCCTCCGACACTATATTACTTAATGCAGGTGCAGAATTCATTGAAATAGGAAACAAAAAATATACAAGGGGGGAAATAATGTGTTTTGCCTACAGTGCCTGTCCTTCAACGTAGGGTAGTGCAGCTCACCAGAATCAACACTCTCAGCGGCCCTCATATGATCCTGAAACCAAACTAGCCTCAACCAAGGAGACTATGCATTCGGAGGCAAGAGGAAAAAAACCCCATACTGGCTGCAAGATAAAACCTCAGATGCAAGGGGTGATAAAGAGACACCGTTCCACCCACCCAGTATCTCTCGCACTTCAGCACCAACCCATAAATCATGCTGCAGCCTCTTCCTCACCTTCAGCGATGCTCTAGAGTAAGGGGGGATTCCACCATCATATTTTCCAGAAACAATTCCACAGGCCAGCGGGGACCAGGTCATGGCGCCAACCCCTGAGAAGAGAGAGAATACTTACTGAGGGCACTGCAGGTTCGTGCTGACAGCCGGGGGGGGGCGGGGGGGGGAGGGGCAGAGAGGAATCAAGTGCGCATACTGCTATCTGCCAGTTTTGTTCCTATTTTTAGCATCTCTTGGTAGAGAAGTAGACATTTTCCTTTGTGCCAATGTTGGTCTGGGGGCAGCTGCCAGCTGTGAGCCCTGCTCCAAAATCCTGCCCCTAAAAGTGAGCAAGCTCAGAACACAGGGAAGAGAAAAACAGGGGTGCAGCTATCGGTGCTGTTGGGAGGATGTGATTTGGAAGCAGGACGCGGCGTGGGAGGAAAGAAAGGAGGGGCCCCTGCTAGAGATGAAATACTTCGACAGGTGGGAGAGATTCTCTTTTAAAAAGAGGTTGGGGAAATGTTTTAGAGTCGAATCCTAGGCAGGATTTCTGGGCTAACGTCGTTATTTAGAGGCGCAGAAGAAGAGCTGTTGACTATCTGTGCACTATCGAACATGGCGAATAGCTTTGAGAGCGTTTTACTGTGTGCTCGGCCTTGCCAGGTGTTGAACACGTGGGCCCGGAGCCAGCAGAACGCTCCAGCCTGTGATCAACTTTAAATCTGGAGCCATTTTCCAAAAAAAATCGACTAAACAGATCGTTAGCGTCACTGCTCAGGTGACTGATTAAAAATCTAAAAAAAACGCGTAACAAATAAAC